AGCTGGTGAAGGTAGAGCACCAGAAGTCCAGAGGGCTAATGCATACTATAGAGATCCCGACGTGGAAATGGGAGGCGATAAATATGGACTTCATCACAGTTTTGCGTAGTTCTCATTGTAAGTTCGATTCTATATGGGTGATAGTCGATAGGCTCACGAAATCAGCCCATTTCCTACCAGTCAGATCTACATATATAACCGAAGATTATGTGAAGTTATATATTAAGGAGATAGTGTGGTTACACAGAGTACCAGTATCTATTATATCTGACCGTGGGGCCCAGTTTATAGCACATTTCTGGAGGTCATTTCAGAGAGATCTAGGGACTCAGGTGAATCTCAGCACAACTTTTCATCCACAGACCGATGGACAAGTTGAGCGCACAATTCAGACGCTCGAGGATATGTTACGAGCATGTGTGTTAGATTTAAAAGAAGTTGGGATGAACATATACCTCTTATCGAGTTTTCATATAATACAGTTGCCACTCCAGTATCAAGATGGCTCCGTACGAGGCTTTATATGGACGTAAGTGCAGATCTCCTATAGGCTGGTTTGATGTTGGAGAATCTGGGTTACATGGGCCAGACTTGATTCAGCAGGCCGTAGAGAAGGTAAAGCTTATCCAAAAGAGACTGTTGATAGCTCAGAGTCATCAGAAGTCATATTCTGATGTGTGGCGACGAGACTTAGAGTTCGTGGTTGATGACTGGGTGTTCTTAAAGGTGTCGCCTATGAAGGGCGTGATGAGATTTGGCAAGAAATGCAAGCTTAGCCCACGGTATATTGGGCCTTATGGGATTATTCAGAGAGTGGTCCAAGTAGCTTATGAGTTAGAATTGGCCTCGGAATTGGAGTCTATCCATCCATTTTTTCACGTATCTATGCTACGAAAGTGCATTGGCAATCCTACCCGAGTTGTTCCCACTGATGATGTATAGATTACGGATGACTTGTCATACGAGAAAGTTCCAGTTGTCATCCTAGACCGACAAATCCGCAAGATACGAAATAAGGATGTAGCCTCCGTGAAGGTTTAGTGGAGAAGCAAGAATATGGAAGAGATGACGTAGGAAGCGGAGGAAGAAATGAATTCTGAATACCCCCACCTATTTCAAACTGAAGATATGGCTCGAGATGGGATACATCAGCGCAACTCTATTCATGCCAGTAGGTTATCGGGTAAGCTCTTGTTTTTGACTTTTAGTATTTATGATTGACGGCCGTGTGAGGCCAAGTATTGCTATTTATAGACATTGGCCATGTGTGGAATGTATAGTATGTTTTTTGGCTGCGTGCAGGTTAGTTTTAGTCTAGTGTACGGAGGGGACTCTAGCAAAAACTGTTTTCCAAAGTCTCTAAGAGTAAACATTCGAGGACAATGTTCCCAATGGGGGAATGATATTACACCCTATATTTTCGTACATAAAAGTACGTCGTAAGCCTAATGTAGGACCAAAAATGAGATCATCTTTGAAATTATATAAAGTAAGTTAATCATGTTACCTCGGAGGTTACAAATATTGAATATCATGAACAACCAGTCCAAAGAGGGTTGGAAGGTTCAGAAGTTAAAGGAATTGAAGAAAATAATATTTCGCCGAAACTTGACAAGTTGGGAATGTTATAAGATGTACTTTTGGGGTGAGAATAGGGTTCTTAACATGATAAGGAGGTTATGTTATGATTTATGTTAGTCATATGATAGTCGTGTGTTATGTTTTGAAGTCAAGCGAGTTGTGAAACAAAAGTCGATGAAAGTCATCACAAGTTACATTCATAAGTTTTACTGATATTTGGGTCAAATGTAACTACGATTTTCTCCCAATATACTTAGAGTTACGAGGTTTTTTACACATAAAATTGAATATCTATGAGTCTATTTTCTAACGCATTAAACCATTTGTCAATACGACATCGGCATAGAGAGATATATGTATTTTTGCGCGACTGCGCAAGCTGCTAGGTGACACGTAGGTGTGTCACCTTCTTGCTTAAACGAGAGTCCGAAAATGGGACAGTTCGGGTCGTCCAAAGAGACAATTTAATGGCCTATTTAGTTCATATACTACACTGATAAGAGAACACAATAACCAAGCCTAAACCCCTGCAAATATCCTCCCAAAAATTACACACAAACCCTAATTGAATTTCTCTCCTTTTCAAATTCTAGTTGGAGGTGTCCGATTCGTAGTTCTAGGTGTTATTTTGGTATTTTGATCACGCGAGCGAGTTCGTATGAGGTTTTTGGACTTGTGTGCATATTTGATTTGGACCCCCGGGGGCTCAAGTGAATTTCAGATATAGTACAGATTATTTAAACTTAGAAAAATCTGGTTTTTGGACTTCTGCTGGTTTCTGGTGTAATGTACTTCACGATCACGAAGCCTCTACCGCTATCGCGAAGGGGGGAACTAGGCAGGGGAGGATTTTACTCTATGCGAACGCGAAGGACTGTATGTGAACGCAAAGTGGATGGGGGGCTTCCCTTCGCGAACGCGGACAGTGTATCTTGAACGCGTAGCTTTGTGGACCTGGGGGAGGGGAACTAACCAATACTCTTCGCGAACGTGGCACAAGGCTCGCTAATGCCTAGGTTGGTGGGTGTAAGCCTTTGCGAACGCAAAGGGTATCTCGCGACCATGTAGGTTATTTGAGTTGCTGCTTCGCGATTGCGTCAAGCCCTTCGCGAACGCGAAGAAGGCCTGACACCCAGTGATTAAAAACAGACCAAAACGGGATTCTTTCATTTTTTTTCATATACTCTCCATTAGAGCTCGGCCTAGAGGCGATATTTAAGAGAAAACTCAACATCAATTTATAGGTTTGTACATGTTAACTCATTTTCTTCCATTTCTAACACCACCCATTAATTACTAGCCCTAATCTTTGTTCTTCCATGCAAGAAAACTAGGGATTTAGGAAGAATTGAGGGTTTTTGCAAATTAGGGATTTAGACATCAAATTGAGGTCGGATTCCGAAACTAATTACATAATCGGGCTCGGGGTGAACGAGAAAATGGACTTTTGTCCGAACCTCAGGTTTTGACCAAGCGGGCCCAGGCTCAATTTTTGACATTTTGGGAAAAATTATGGAAATTCTAAATTTATGCATTGTAATTGATTTCTTCAGCAATATTTGACATTATTGAGTCTATTGCGGTTAGATACGACTGTTTTGCAGAAGGATTCTATGGGAAAGGCTTTGGTAGAGCTTTGAGTCGACTTATGGAGCGAGGTAAGTATCGTGGTTAACCTTGACTTAAGGGATTAAGACTTGTTTGCCTATTTGTTACTTGTTTAAATGTTAGATACAACGTATATGTTAGGTGACGAGTACTTATGCATTGTTATTGGGTTAAAGCATGTGGGTGAGACTTGTTTCTTGTAATTTATCTCTTTCTTTGATCATTATAGCCACGCTTAGACTAGTTAATTGATAAATTGATCGTTCTTTCTGTACTTATGAGCTATATGTGATAATTGAGTATTGTTTCTGAAGTTGAGATTGGTATTGTGGAACTATTGTTGACATAAGACTTGATATTGCTTATTCCGTCTCCCTATTTTTATATGTTCATTGTTACATGGTAAGGGAGAGTGTTAAAGTACGAAGGGTGATGTCATGCCGTATTTCAGAGTTAAAGCACGAAGGGTGATGTCATGTCATATCTATTGATTCATGATGAAATTGAGAGTAAAAACACGATGGGTGATGTCGTGTCGTATTTATCATTTTATGGTGAGATTTAGAGTAAAAGCACGAAGGATGATGCCGTGCAGTTTTATTCATTATGCTTGTTCATTTTGTTGATTGAAGGTTTATTGACTGATTGTTGTTAATATTCCCTGTTGTAGGTACTGTATCTTGTACCCCTTTCACATGTCCCCTCCCAATTGTACTTGTTAATTCTTTATTTGTTGTTATTTTGTACATATATTTCCGTTTGTACATGTTTAATTACATGGGTGTCCTGTCATAGTCTCGTCACTACCTCGCCAAGGTTAGGCTCGACACTTACGGAGTACATTAGGTTGGTTGTACTCATACAACACTCCGCACTTCTTGTGCAGATTTTGGTACTGGTCCCAGCTGTCCGTGAGGCATATTAACTCGAATTGGCATTTGGAGACTCGAGGTAGATCTGATGGTGTCCGCAGACCTTAAAGTCCCCTTCCACTTCCTCTATTTATTGTTCATTTCATTCGAGACAGTTGTATTTATTGCAAACCTTATTTGTAGAGATTCTAGAAGATCATGAACTTGTGACTCCAGATCCGGGTTATACTTAGATATTATTGGTTTTATGTCATTTGTATTCCGTTTTAGTTTCTTTTCGGCTTAATTGGTTTTACTTTATTGAATTGATTAAAAATTGGCTTAAAAATCCTCTAACGTTGGCTTGCCTAGCAAGTGAAATGTTAGGCGCCATCACGGTCCCGAAGATGGAAATTCCGGGTCGTGACAAAATGTTAAGGACATGGCGTCCTTACTTCATGTGTGCAGTGTAAATGTTAAGGACACCATGTCCTTAATATTTATACAACACCTATGAAGAAAGGGTAAAGATAGCTTTTCGTATTAATTTTAATAGAGTAATGACTATTTTTGCTCACAATTAAAAATATTGAATAAAAACTAAATAGCATGTTAAAAAGTGGCTATCCCATGCCATTTCAACGCATATGTACTAGTTTCTAGCTAACCCTTCACTTATCTCTACCCCTGATTTATAGTAAAGTTTTTAAATTATATGCACTATCATTATAATAAATTTGTATAGGATATGTGTATACTTAATCTATTAAATTTAGTAGGTAAACGTATTATTTATTATACAAGTTACCAATGAATATTTAATAAATAAGGTTACTCACAATTAACTTTTAAATGACTTGATTGACATATAAAGCTTAAATTCATTACAAAAAGAGGATCTTTACACAAATAGTTTGTATGAATTCATTATTTATTTTTCCTAGTTGATATATATACATTATGGAAGTTGCGAGAGAGGTTTTAGGAGTTACAAAGGGATACCCTGGGAGACGTATAGGGGATTGGTGGTGGAATACGGAGGTCCAAGGAAAAGTTGAAGTCAAGAAAACGGCTTATTTGAAACTAGTGGAGAGCACAAACGAGGAGGAAAAGAGGACAAATTGGGAATGTTATAAGAAGGCAAAGAGAGAGGCGAAGTTAGCGATTACGGCGGCTAAGACTGCTGCCTTTGGACGAATATATGCGGAGCTTGGGAGCAAAGGCGGGGACAAGAAGTTGTACAGGTTAGCCAAAGTAAGGGAGAGGAAGGCTCGTGACTTGGACCAAGTAAAGTGCATCAAAGATGAGGACGACATGGTATTGATGGAAGATGCCCTTATTAGACGAAGATAGCATGCATACTTCCACAGACTGTTGAACGAGGAGGGGGACAAAAGCATTGTGCTGGGTGAGTTGGAGCACTCCGAGAGTCTGCGTGATTTTGGCTATTGTAGGCGTATTAAGGTCGAAGAGGTTATGGGAGTGATGCGTAAGATGAGCAGGGGAAAAGGGACTGGGCCAGACGAGATCCCGGTAGAATTATGGAAGAGTGTGGGCGTGGAGTGGCTTACTGGGTTGTTTAATGTTATCTTTAAGACGAAGAAGATGCCTGAAGAATGGAGGTGGAGTACAATGATTCCTTTGTACAAGAACAAGGGTGGTATCCAAAACTACAATAACTATAGGATTATCAAGCTACTGAGTCATACTATGAAAATTTGGGAGAGCGTGGTAGAAGTTAGGGTGAGGAAGAGTGTGTCTATTTCAGAGAATCAGTTTGAATCAGTTAGCGGCGTTCCGGTAGGGTAATCAAGGATATATATGATGGTGCTAAGACTCAAGCGAGAACAATTAGAGGTGACTCAAATCACTTTCCAATAGTGATGGGGTTGCACCAGGGATCAGCTCTTAGCCCGTTCTTATTTGCTCTGGCAATGAATGTGCTAACACGGCACATTCAAGGGGAGGTGCCATGGTGCATGTTGTTTGCCGATGACATAGTGCTGATTGATAAGACGAGGAACGGGGTCAATGCGAGGCTGGAGGTCTGGAGGCATACCCTAGAGTCTAAAGGATTCAAGTTGAGCAGGACCAAAACGGAATACTTGGAGTGTAGGTTCAGTAACGGGACTCATGAAGCGGACGTGGATGTGAATCTTGATACCCAAGTCATCCCGAAGAAGGGTAGTTTTAAGTATCGGGTTTATAATCCAGGGTAACAGGGAGATTGATGATGAGTTCTCCCACCGTATCAGTGCGGGGTAGATGAAATGGAGGCTCGCATCCGGTGTTTTGTGTGATAAAAAGGTGCCACCAATATTTAAGGGTAAGTTCTACAGAGTGGTGGTTAGACCTACTATGTTGTATGGGGCTGAGTGTTAGCCAGTCAAGAAATCCCATATTCAGAGGATGAAAGTAGTAGAAATGAGGATGTTGAGATTGATGTGTGGGCATACCATGAGAGATAAGATTAGGAACGAAGTTATTCGGGACAAAGTGGGAGTGGCCCCCGTAGAGGACAAGATGCGGGAGTTGAGGCTGAGATGGTTCAGGCACGTGCAGATGAGGAGTACAGATGCTCCTATTAAGAGGTGTGAGAGGCTGGCCGTGGAGGGGCTGAGAAGGGGTAGAGGAAGGCCGAAGAAGTATTGGGGAGAGGTGATTACGCAGGATATGATGCTACTTCAGCTCACTGAGGACATGATCTAGGATAGAAAGGTGTGGAGGTCAAAGATTAGAGTAGTTGGAGAGTAGGTAGTCGAGAGTTTCCCATTCTTTTTTAGTTGTATTAGCAGCTCCCTTGTTTTTTTTTCGTTCGCTCTGTGTATCATATGTTCCAGTTTGTTACTGTTTGATGCTATTTTCTGTTACTAGTTTCGTTGTTGTTGTTGTTATTGTTGTTACTATAGTTGTCTTTCTCCCCTTTTCCTTATCGTCCTTTGTCCCCCTATTCTTTCTTTCTTCTTCATCTTCTTCCTTTCTCTCTTTCACCTTTTCTTGAGCCGAGAATATTGGAAACAACCTCTCTAACTCGTCGGGCAATGGTAAGGTCTGCGTACACACTACCCTCTCCAGACCTCACTTGTGGGATTATACTGGATATATTGTTATTGTTGTTGTATATGGTTAGTTGCGTACGACTTTAAGGGCAAGAGCATGTTTGAAGATGCCTCATATTTGTTTCTAAATTGATATTTATTCGTCCTCTTTCATCTTTTGTCTACTCATGAGCACCCAAAAATTAGTATTATATACTTGAGTCTATTATTTAGATGGTCACTAAACTTTTCGAAATTATGTACCAAAGTCATTTTTCTTTCGTTTGTAACATCAAAGTCACTTAACTATGCCTATAGCACTTAGAAGGTCACTCAAATAGATTTATCAAACTTTTGATCGCCAAATACCTATTTTACCCTCTAAATTATCAACTTTTATCTTATGTTTTTTTTTTTTAATATTATGATTTTTTTTCTTTTTAATCAGTATTATGGACTTACCAACTGAACAAAAATATTTTATTTAAAAATAAAAAGTAAAAAAAAAACTATAGCATATATAGTGTCGAAATAATAATATACTTGAGCATAATATTCAAGAATATGTAATGTATATTACAAAAATATATTTATTTTTAATAATTATTTTCTATAGTACGTGCATGGAATATATATTTTAAAAAATTTATTTTCTCTCATTCTCAATTGTGTAAATAATTTTTTGAGTTTTTTTTTTATCAAAATTATAATTACGAACTAATTGTTCTAATTAACTTTCTACTATGCTCAATATTTTATTATTCCAGCATTATATATGCTTAAATACTATTTTAATTTTTTTAATTTATAAATATAATTTATTTATTTTAAGGTAAGTCCATAATATAAATTAAAAAGAGAAAAAAATTATTATATTAAAAAGCTAAAAAAAAATAAAAAGAAGATAAAAATTGATAATTTAGAGGGTAAAATAGTTGAGTGACCTTCTGAGTGCTATTGACATAGTTAAGTGACTTTGTTGTTACAAACAAAAGAAAGATGAATGGTAGATAATTTCGGATAGTTGAGTAATCACATGAGTAATTGACTCTTATATACTTCAAAGGGCTTTGCCTCCAATTGTTGTATGTACTCTTTTGAAAATGCCCGTAAAACATGATTTCTTAGCAACTTGTTGTAAATGTGAGACAATATTGTTGAAAAAATTAATTAATAATTAATTGTCTGTTTGAGTGCATTTTCAATAATTGATCTGAAGAAAATAAACTAATTATAAGTGGTCCTCCTGATCTATATGAATAAAATACGTCTAACGAGGAGACTTAATTAAGCAGATCTAACAGGCAACAGCTAACTAATTCATACCTATTAATTAATGTAATAATTTGTATTAGTGATCTATGGTATACTAAAATAGAATCTTAGGTTTCGAAGAGTCTAGAAACAAAATAAAATAAGTAAGAGTCTAAAAAAGGAAATAATAATCTGATGGAACTTTAAGAAGATACCGTGAATATCCTGCAGGGTAAATAAGCTTTAACGTCGTTTTTGGAATACCGTATTTGTTCCTTATTTTCATATCAATATTACTACTATTATTATCGTATTATCTTATTCTTCGATTTTTATTACAACGTGTTATTTCCTTTACTTTGATTATCTTACTGCTTTATTATTTTGTTGTTGTTGAATGTGTATGTTGTTGAATGTGTATGAACAAAGTCCCACATGGGAAGTAGAAAAGAAAAATAAGCTACTTATAAAGAATTGGATACTCTTAATAGTGTGAGGCATTTTGGAAAAAATTCGAGTTTAGCCCAAAGCGGACAATATCACACCATGTTAAGAGTATCTTTGTGCACAATCTTTTGACTTTACTTTAAAGGGACCACACAAATCAGAGTGTACTAGCTCCAATAATTCGGGCTAGTATCGTTGTGATATTATCCGTTTTGGACCAAACCCGCATGGTTTTCTTCAAAAAGCCTTACACCATTAAGAGTATTCAACTCTTTATAAGTAACTTATTTTTGTTTTCTACTTCCATGTGAAACTTTTTCACACACACCCAACAGTTACTATTCTTATCTTTATTATTTTCAATAGGGTTTCTTCACTACTGTTTTTCAACATGGTTTCTTTTTCAATCCTGCTTAGCTTAGAAATAATTTTTTTGAGCTGATTGAGTGTTTATTGGAAATAATTTTTCTACCTCCACAAGGTAGGGATAATGTTTGCGTACACACTACCCTCCCAAGATCCCAATTGTGGTAAATTTCGTTAAAGATATTCAAGATTTAATATAAATATATAAAAATAAATTTTAACTTATATATACTCGTATAATTTTATATTCACAATATATAATTTTCCGATAAAGAGTATTCAACTGACTACCTTTCCGGCTAACCGGTGGTTTGGATGATTCCTTTACGGTTTATACATTTGAAAAGGCTCTCTATGTTGCCTATCTATCATGAAATCACTTAAATTCCTTAATTTTGTGCCTTGATCTAATAATCTGGAAATAATATTTCCGCAACAGCTTGTTTCCTTACAAGTAATAATTATTATAGAGCAAAGGTTTAGATACTTCATCTTTTTTTTTCATACGACACTATTTTTCTTTTTAGTACGCTTGGAAATAATTGACACATTTGTTATTATATAAGGGTCGTCTGTATGCAAGGAAAATGTCACAAAACTCATTTTTCTTTAATCAAGAATATTCAAGATATCATATTACTCCGTTTGCAATTTTGAAAAGATAAAATGGATAAGTTGATGCGCATTAGCAAAATTCGTTACTAATCTTATTTAGAGACGAATTAGCAAATAAAAAAATTCGGTTAGCGACGGATTCGCTACGAACTTCGTAGCTAAATCCAGATATTTTGTAGTTATCTCTATGTGATGTTCTCTCAATATCATAATAAGAGCACTTCCAAAGTACGAGGCGAATCTAGTAGTATAAACGTAAGTTCATTTGAACTCTTAACTTCTAACCTAGCTATATTTACAATATTTGTATAGAACTCATTAAAATTACAAAAACAATATTGAACTATAAGCCCAAAAACTTAAATGTGTTAGAAAATAAAGACTGTAAAGTAAAGAAACCGAAGACAAGTTTAGAGAGAGATTGATATATTATTCAACTTCAAACTGATGTACATAATGAATTGAAAACTCCTCTATTTATAGAAGAAAGGAAGCAGCCGCGAGACTTTTCAGAAAGCAGTTGCGAGGCTTTTCTTGAGCTGCTTGTAAGTTGTCTGCATGAGCTACTTGCAACCTGCCTGTTTAATAAGAAGCTGCTGCAAATCATTTCATTGAATAGATTGCAACCTGCTTGCATCAGTTGCTTGTAGATAAACTTCAATAGAGTACCAAACGGATAATCTTCCTGAAGTAGAGTAATAAATGGACATCAACAATATAATTATTTTCATAACACTCCCCCTTGGATGTTCATTAAAAGATATTGTACCTCGTTAAAACCTTACTAGGAAAAACCCAGTGGGAAAAATCCTAGTGAAGGAAAAGGAGTACACAAATTTAGTAATACGCACTTCTAGCTGCCTCGTTAAAAACCTTACAAGAAAAACCCCATGGAAAAAATCTTAGTAAGGGAAAAAGAGTACAACGCGTATTTCACTTCCCCTAATGAAAAACCTGCTTCAAATGTTGAAGTTGGCAAAGATTTAGTGAACAAATCTACTGGATTGTCACTTGAACGGATTTGTTGCACATCGACATCATAATTTTTCTGAAGATCATGTGTAGAATAATTTTGGTAAAATGTGCTTCATTTTATCTCTTTTTATAAATCCTCCCTTTAATTGGGTTATGCTTGCAGCATTGTCTTCGTATAAAATTGTGGATCTTTTACCACATTTTTCTTGAACAAAATGAATCACTTATCTCAACCATACGCATTTCCTATTTGCTTCATGAATATATATTATCTCAGCATGATTTGAAGAAGTAGCAACAATAGATTTCTTTATGGAGCTCCATGATATTACAGTACCTCCACATGTAAACATGTACCCGGTTTGAGAGCGAGCTTTATGGAGATCAGATAAATAACCTGCATTTGCATAACCAACAAGATCTGCACACCTTTGTTAGCATAATACAAACTCATATCAAGAGTTCCCTTTAAATATCACAATATATGCTTAATCTCGTTCCAATATCTCCGTGTAGGAGAAAAGCTATATCATGCTAGTAAATTAACATAAAATGCTATGTCAGGCCTTGTAGCATTAGCAAGATACATAAATACACCGGTTGTACTGAGATAGGGTATTTCAGGACCAGGGAGTTCTTCATCCACTTCTGGAGGTCGAAACTTGCCCTTATTCACTTCAAGTAATCGAACAACCACTGGTGTACTCAATGAATGAGCTTTTTCCATATAAAAGTATTTTAAGACCCTTTCTGTATAAGCAGATTGATGGATAAAGTTTTCGTTTGTTAAATGTTCAATTTGCAGATCAAGACAATGCTTTGTCTTTCCAAAATCTTTTATCTCAAATTCTTTCATAAGGTATTCAACTGTCTTTTGGAGCTCTTCTCGAATTTCAACAAGATTTGTGTCATCAATATAAACAGTAAGTATAGCAAATTCTGATGATATTTTCTTTATAAAAATACATGGACAAATAATATCTTTTATGTAACCTTCTTTCAGTAAATATTCAC